GCGCGAAATCTCCGTCGCGTGGAGTGAGGCCACTCGCGACCCGAATTTTCGAAATCAAATCGCAACCCAAGGCGTTCGGTGGAACTTCATTCCTCCGTCCGCGCCGCACTTCGGCGGACTTTGGGAAGCGTGCGTCCGCAGCGTCAAGTTTCACATGAAACGCGTCATCGGGGCGCACACGCTAACATTCGAGGAGCTCAACACGCGCCTATGTAAAATCGAAGCGTGTCTAAATTCGCGACCAATCGCTCCCGTTTCAGACAATCTTGACGACTACAGTACAATGACATCGAGTCATTTCTTAATAGGCTCAGCGCTAACGAGCGTACCCGCACCCTCGTTACTAGACAAAAGGGAAACGCGTCTCACTCGATGGCAATTGATTAACCGATGCGTGATAGCTTCTGGAAGCTCTGGTCAAACGATTATCTTCATACTTTACAGCAACGCCTCAAGTGGCGTCAAGTACAGAATTTAGCTCGAGTCGGACGCTTAGTATTATTGCGAAACCCTCTCGCTCCTCCGAGCAGATGGGAGTTAGGACGGATCGTGGAGTGTCACCCCGGCGAAGACGGGCTCACGCGAGTCGTCTCAGTCAAAACGGCGCGATCCACGTATAAACGTGCCGTGGTCAAGTTGTCATTTCTGCCGGTCGACTTAAACACCCCGGAGTGACACTCTTCGATGCCTAAGCGATAAGAGAAACTGTACATATTTGTAATTATCCAGATGTATTATCCTTTTCTGTATAAATTGTTCATTTGATTTAAGTTACAGCCCTCGCTGTGCTCAGCAATGCGGGCTGCTTGAATTCGCCGTTCGTCACGGCGGGCGGCCCCGGATATTGCGAATCGTTATTCGCGGCGGGCGGTTATGTTCCGTAATTTCTGTCGCGATCGCGGTCAATACCGTACGGTGACGCCATCCGTCAGACGCCCTTAGAACGAGGGGATTTCGCGCCGCTCCCCGCGACAACCCGAACCGCGAAGTTTTCCCGACGAGTATCGATCCGTCATGCCGTGATTGCATGATCACGAAAACACGGCTGATTGGTCGATGCCCGTCGCGGGCCCGAAAGCTCCCGAAACGCGAGAGTTCCGGGATCAGTAGTCTCAAGTACTCAGGAACACGAGGTAGTACACCGCCGTGTATCTGTTCTAGTTTCCGTTTCACGCGGTCTCATTATTCCGTCGTGCATACGGCTCGCGTGCTCGTTACAAGCACCGCTGATTGTCTCGCGCAGTTCGTGCGTCCTCAGCAATCCACCCTCGCTACAGCGAGCGGTGAAACATCGCGTATAAGTCGCGCGCGCCGCGCCTCGCCATTATACGACTCGTGCTTCTCGATTCGTCACCTGTGAACGTTTCGCGTCTTGTGTCACAAACCATTACGACAGCAATTGAACGCCGTAGGAGCGTTCAGCAAGTGCATATCAAAATGCGCTTTCGTTGCCAAAGCCGCCGTGATCGGCCGCATACGGTCACATTTCGCGACTGTCGCGTCGAGCGGTCACCGAATCACGTGCGCGCACCGTGACGCGCTCACATAAGGGCGCGCTCACCGAACTGTATATAGATTGTGCATTAAATAAAGACTTTTGTGCCTCGTTAAAACAAGTGTCCGTTTTCGTATCGCACCTCGGATCCCTGTCGGGGTCGACCCGGCATATTACGCTAATTGACGATCCGGAGTTACGCCCGGAGTACAATTCGCCAACAATACATAATTTGCTTGTTTACAGTCTGGCGCGATGAATGTATGTTACAAATAATCCCTTCTTTTAAAAAATGTCATAAAGCACAAACATCGAAATAAGCTTCAAATTTCGAGCATTATTTCGATATGATGTAATACCGATGATTTTGACATCAATTAGACATCGATTCGATGGGTCATTTCTTGCTGGGTAATCACAGCTTGTAGTCGATGCATCGATTGCACTAGGTTTCGCGGTATAGTTGGTGAAATCATTCCCATTTTTTTGAAGAGCGATTTTTAAATCTTTCTTGGTAAGATCCCTGTTACGTTCATACATCCCCAAACAAGCACGGAACCACCACTTTATTTGACTGTAGGTATGAGATTTTTTGGATTGAGTTCTGTATTTTTTTTTTGCTACTTCATACATCTCCCATCAGAGACAAAAATATTAAATTCACTTTTGTTTGAGAAAATTACTGTATTCCAACATTCTTTAGTTTTATTAATCCTCTATTGTTCTTGTTCAGCAAACGAACATCAGTGCTCACGTGTTAGCCTCGCGCCGCGCTTGTATGTTTGTCACTGTATTAATATGATATTCTCTCTCTCTCCAGACTCAGATCAAGGACCACTACACTGATTGCGAGAAAAAAAATTTTTAAACTAAGTAAATACATTTACTTAAAATTATTATTTTTTATTAAAGTAAATATTTATTTATATTTAAATAAAAATATTTAATTTTAAATAAATATATGTGTGTCTTATATTAGGTTATAAATAAGCTGTTAGAACCCACTTAATTAATATTTACTTTGGATTAAAATAATTTTTTTCTCAGTGTATTTCCAACATCTGTTAAACTCTAACTGACTACTTTTCAGAATAGTCAATAAAATTGGCTATTTTGAAAAGTTAACTCGATTAGAGGAACAAACGTTGGAAATAGTGACTTCCAAATACAGTCTTGTATAAGAACAAGAGGATGAAATATTGACCGATCTAAAACACTAAAACTTACATTTGGCAACAGCACGAATCGCGTCAATTCTACTTATTTGCTCTTGATATGAACGCTGCGTATAGATATGTATATCACACGTTAGCAAAAGTGCTGTATTAAAATAAATTTTGTTTCTTTATATTAACAACAATTATTTTTATCGTAATACATTAATTATTATAGAATAAAAAAAAAAGTAATTGATTGGGGTATTTGAACTCGAGTCCACAAGTTATGAGGCCATATTGACTACGCCACAAATACTCGTATGTCAAACATTCTAATAAATTCAACTAAAGTCGCCACAAAATTAATTATTAAAATATTTCGGAAATAGTTGACCGTTGGCAGCCAAAAAGGGTATCATTATATTCGGGGAAACTTTCTCTGTAATTCTACCAAGTTTTATTGAAATCGGTGGAGTTTGGTTCTGAGTCTTCCTTTGTAAGATGTTTCGCGAATTCTAATCGTTTACTGCGATTAGTTGCATTTACCCAGAACTTTTTCCTTGCAACACGGCCATGATATCTATAATCTCGCAGCACACATTTCGAACCGTATTAAGGGGATCCTGGACAAGGAACAATTACCGACAAAAACAGTCAGGGCTCGTTCTTTGAAACGGCTTTATAGATTGCAAAATCCTTTTACAGGTCTCGGGTCCGCGGCGCGCCGCCGATGCCGCCCGTCCGTCGCGGACGGTAGTCGCTCGTAGCCGGTTGTCGGTTCGCTCAAGCCACGCGCACTGCGGGTCTGCGGGTGGCAGGGCAGGCAGAACGTTTGTTGTCCCCGGTCCCCGGCGGTCGTCGAGACTCGTGCGCGCGCGAGGGAAGAGCACGAGTATAGGTACTAATGAAGAGTGGGAATGTAAAAAATTAGTGATAATTGAAAAAAAATGTAAAAATGCTGTCACATAACCATATTTTCTAATATAAACAGATATATAGGTTATATGTACGAAATGAAATGTTCCCACTCTTCAGAATACGTGCACAAACAATAACGTACCGTTGAAATTGAGATTGAAAGCCTGGAAAAAAAATTTGAGCTTCGAAAAAATCGTGTATATTTTTCACAAAAATATACACGCAGGCTAGTAAGCAGAGCAGCAAAAGAGATGGCGCAGCGATCGAACAAGGATAGATGTCATTTCGTTAGACAAAGACAGATATAGGAAAAACAAAATTAGAAATGTTGACATTATCGACACCGAGAAAGTTCGGCCGTCACTCCAGCAACCCTTTAATAGAATTGATATTAGAAACGTGTCCATCGCGATTTTCAAGTGCGGCTGTAATCTTTGTTAGCACTTGTTTTTGAGTGTATTTTAATTTGACGGATTATAAAACGTTTGTCGGTTTTGCTTAAGATTTGTGGCTTTAAGATTACGACTCCTCGGTTTATTTTTCACTGTTTTTTTTTTCACAAAAATAATCAATTATCGATTGAATTGTCGATCGGGGTTTGTCGACGAGCTGAGCAATTTCTCGAAGAGATTTATATTGATTATGTACTTTAATAATAATTTTTCGTTCTTTTTCGCTTGTTTCCCTGCCTTCGCGACCCATTTTGCTTAAATAATGCAGTAATACTGACATTATTTGTTCTTTAAAAGTCATAATTGGGAAGCATAACCTACTGTCTAATGTAAACAAAATAGCTGCCCCGAGAATAACCATATTCACGATCTTACAAGCTCAATTTCTCAACTGTACGAATACTTGGTATGCATCCAAATAGTACAATTTTTTATTTATTATCAGGACAAAATATTTTAATTATTACATTCTTTAGTTGAAATACTTAAAAAAAATCTATTTTGTTCGTTATTAATAAATTGTAACTCATATACTGAGAAACCCATTTCGTTGAATCAACTAAATCCTTGTTTGGATATGAGCATACAAATTGTTTAGTTAATATAACAAAAATTTGGTTCACATAACAAAAAAATTAGTTATGTTAAAAAATTTTTGTTATGTTAACCAAATTTTTTGTTATATTAACTAAAGAATTTGTTTGCTCATATCCAAACAAAGATTTAGTTGATTCAACGAAATAGGTTTTTAGTGTATATATTTTTTTTTCAAAAATAAAATTAAAAAAAAAATTTTCTCTATACGAATACTTTTTGCACTCACTGGACACTCACTGAACTACACATTAGAAAATGGAATCAATTAAGTGTTTTAATTTTGCAAAATAGTACTTAAATTATTTTATTTTATTTATTTATTATGATGTAATAACTATTTAGTTTTAGCTTTTTCCATTGTATGTAGGTATTATTTTTCAGGCTGCTAAAGGTAAGCCACCCATAGTAGGCTATGTTCTATATAGTCTTGCACCTTGGCTGAAGGATTACGTCGGTGGTCCAAGTTATCCGACTGTTCGAACCAACCCCGCATCCATTGCGAAACCTGAAGGTTTGTGGCTGAGGACATGGAATGCTCTATATTTTATTATGGATGATCTCATAAGATATTACTATTACTTCCCTATTATTCAACGACTTACTGAGGAATATGTAGGCCATGCAATAAAGCCATTACATGAAATAGAAAAAGACAGAATTAACATAGTACTAATTAATAGTCATCCTGCGTTCGAGCCTGCGATCCCATTGCCGCCGAACACTCTGGAGATCGCAGGTCTAAATGCCCAAGCCGTGCAACCAATTGCCGGCGAGATAGTTGTGACGTATTCTGAGGTAAGAGAAATTATACTTTTTGAGAAACTTAATACTTGAGAAACACAATTTAACAAAAAATAGAATTAGAATATTATAGGAAAAAAGCTGTGTATACTGAAATTTTATAATTTTAACGAAACTCTGTCGTGTGTTTAACGGTCAAATTATTATCTAGATTTTATCTGTATTCGAAGATTCTCGAATTAGGATTTATCATTCCTTCTTGTGTGGCACAGATATTTCCGTGCCATTCAGGATATTGTAATAAATACTAATTGTTTTAATTAGCAAAACTGTGACTAAATTATTAGATCAAGCAAAATCTGTAATTTTGCTTTTATTAAATCAATATAATAATAATATTGTATAAAAATTTCATGTATAATAATCGTGATAAGCTCAAATAATTAGAAATCAAACATATATAACGATAGGGCACAGAGCCGCAACAAGATGTTCGCATTAAATTATTTTTAATTTTAATAGATATTTTCCAATCATAATAACTGCGCGCTGACTAATTGTTAGACTTGCAACACAGTTGTAATTGGAGTAAAATCCCCTCCCTCCCTCTAATTAAATCAATTCGATTTAATTTTGATGCTAAGCATTTAAATAACTGTAAAGAAATTATTGCAAAAAAATTTATTATTGTTATACGCGGGCTTAAGTATGCGGTTCTACAATAATAATATTAGGTTATTGTTATAAATATTACCACATGCCTCAGTGGTCGAATTGGTACGACGTCTTCACGGAATGAAGGAGGTTCTACAGGTTCGAACCCTGGCTGAGATAATATTTTTCGCAATAATTTTTTGTAGTTATTTAGATGCATATAGCATAAAAAATTAAATCGAATTGATTTAATTAGGGGGGGGGGGGAGAGGAGATTTTACTTCAATTACAACTGTGTTGCAAGTCTGACAATTAGTTAGCGCGCAGTTATTATGGTTGAAAAATGTCTATTAAAATTAAAATTTTATGTATATTTCCAAATTGATTAAAGTTTTTGCATACGTTTATTTCTCATACAATTTGCATATATATATATATATATGTACCTATACATATAACTATAAACTCAAACAACATGCATGTGTGAAAAACGTAATAAAGACGGTTTTTAGACGTGGGTGCTAGTGTAGGAATTAATGTATAAAAAATATATTTTAAATATGCTATATTTTTACCATCTTTATAATTGAATAAGTAACGATCACGTATGTGATATAATATAATTTTTATTTATTAAATTATTATTAATTAATTTCTATAAGAATCAGTAAATTTGAAACTGAGGATAAATATTATTGTTTTGCATATTGTTAAATTTAGAAACGTAAAGATATTTTTTACAAAAATATTATATTTATAACAATGACTTTTACAAATATTATATTTATCACAATGACTTTTATAAGAAAATTAACTGTCGAGTATGAATCTTATTTGAATAAATGTATAATACAATTTTTTGCTTACTATTGTTACGTACGGAAATTTTATATTTTCGACGACGCACGTTAAAAGTTTTGAACGCTTAGACGACGCACGCTAGGCTCGGAATTCCGAGGAAACGGCCGGGTTAGTGTAAATGTTTAGATTATCTTATCGGAGTCCGTTGAAGGGCTGGGGGCCAGATGGGCCCAAAACTACGCTTCTAGAATGTTCTAGAAGCTTCTAGAATACCTCCCCCCCTTAAGACGCGTAGGAAAAAGGCGGGAATCTCGCGCGGGAGATTCCGGTCTTTTTCGGGTATAAATAGGGCGGAAAAACGCCGCGGAAAGCAGATAAGTTTTAACTTCGGTCTTGACTAGACGTAATTCTCAGACTCTCTCCTAACCTTATTCGATTTCCTACGTTCCGCTATACGCTAAGTTCGAGCATTCGCGCTCAATTCTGGGACTTAGTCCCTACACTCTCATACCTTATAAGACCGCGCTTCACGCACAAGTTGTATTGAGATTTATAGAATAAAGGTAAGATAAGTTTAAAAGGGAACAAGTGTAAAAATCTGGAATCTCATTTCGTAATTTTAATCAATAAATCGATCACTTCTAAGATTCGACTCGCAGTTGTCGCTGACAAAGCGTGGCGATCTGTGCTGGGGCGCTGACGAAGAGTGTGGCGATCCAGTACTTTCGCTGCCGAAAGCGTGGCGATTACGGGGTTGATTCTTGGGGGTCGTAATAATCACTGTCACTTCTGGGATTCCGACTCGCAGTTTCCGCTGACAAAGCGTGGCGATCTGTGCTGGGGCGCTGACGAAGAGTGTGGCGATCCAGTACTTTCGCTGCCGAAAGCGTGGCGATTACGGGGTTGATTCTTGGGGGTCGTAATAATCACTGTCACTTCTGGGATTCCGACTCGCAGTTTCCGCTGACAAAGCGTGGCGATCTGTGCTGGGGCGCTGACGAAGAGTGTGGCGATCCAGTACTTTCGCTGCCGAAAGCGTGGCGATTACGGGGTTGATTCTTGGGGGTCGTAATAATCACTGTCACTTCTGGGATTCCGACTCGCAGTTTCCGCTGACAAAGCGTGGCGATCTGTGCTGGGGCGCTGACGAAGAGTGTGGCGATCCAGTACTTTCGCTGCCGAAAGCGTGGCGATTACGGGGTTGATTCTTGGGGGTCGTAATAATCACTGTCACTTCTGGGATTCCGACTCGCAGTTTCCGCTGACAAAGCGTGGCGATCTGTGCTGGGGCGCTGACGAAGAGTGTGGCGATCCAGTACTTTCGCTGCCGAAAGCGTGGCGATTACGGGGTTGATTCTTGGGGGTCGTAATAATCACTGTCACTTCTGGGATTCCGACTCGCAGTTTCCGCTGACAAAGCGTGGCGATCTGTGCTGGGGCGCTGACGAAGAGTGTGGCGATCCAGTACTTTCGCTGCCGAAAGCGTGGCGATTACGGGGTTGATTCTTGGGGGTCGTAATAATCACTGTCACTTCTGGGATTCCGACTCGCAGTTTCCGCTGACAAAGCGTGGCGATCTGTGCTGGGGCGCTGACGAAGAGTGTGGCGATCCAGTACTTTCGCTGCCGAAAGCGTGGCGATTACGGGGTTGATTCTTGGGGGTCGTAATAATCACTGTCACTTCTGGGATTCCGACTCGCAGTTTCCGCTGACAAAGCGTGGCGATCTGTGCTGGGGCGCTGACGAAGAGTGTGGCGATCCAGTACTTTCGCTGCCGAAAGCGTGGCGATTACGGGGTTGATTCTTGGGGGTCGTAATAATCACTGTCACTTCTGGGATTCCGACTCGCAGTTTCCGCTGACAAAGCGTGGCGATCTGTGCTGGGGCGCTGACGAAGAGTGTGGCGATCCAGTACTTTCGCTGCCGAAAGCGTGGCGATTACGGGGTTGATTCTTGGGGGTCGTAATAATCACTGTCACTTCTGGGATTCCGACTCGCAGTTTCCGCTGACAAAGCGTGGCGATCTGTGCTGGGGCGCTGACGAAGAGTGTGGCGATCCAGTACTTTCGCTGCCGAAAGCGTGGCGATTACGGGGTTGATTCTTGGGGGTCGTAATAATCACTGTCACTTCTGGGATTCCGACTCGCAGTTTCCGCTGACAAAGCGTGGCGATCTGTGCTGGGGCGCTGACGAAGAGTGTGGCGATCCAGTACTTTCGCTGCCGAAAGCGTGGCGATTACGGGGTTGATTCTTGGGGGTCGTAATAATCACTGTCACTTCTGGGATTCCGACTCGCAGTTTCCGCTGACAAAGCGTGGCGATCTGTGCTGGGGCGCTGACGAAGAGTGTGGCGATCCAGTACTTTCGCTGCCGAAAGCGTGGCGATTACGGGGTTGATTCTTGGGGGTCGTAATAATCACTGTCACTTCTGGGATTCCGACTCGCAGTTTCCGCTGACAAAGCGTGGCGATCTGTGCTGGGGCGCTGACGAAGAGTGTGGCGATCCAGTACTTTCGCTGCCGAAAGCGTGGCGATTACGGGGTTGATTCTTGGGGGTCGTAATAATCACTGTCACTTCTGGGATTCCGACTCGCAGTTTCCGCTGACAAAGCGTGGCGATCTGTGCTGGGGCGCTGACGAAGAGTGTGGCGATCCAGTACTTTCGCTGCCGAAAGCGTGGCGATTACGGGGTTGATTCTTGGGGGTCGTAATAATCACTGTCACTTCTGGGATTCCGACTCGCAGTTTCCGCTGACAAAGCGTGGCGATCTGTGCTGGGGCGCTGACGAAGAGTGTGGCGATCCAGTACTTTCGCTGCCGAAAGCGTGGCGATTACGGGGTTGATTCTTGGGGGTCGTAATAATCACTGTCACTTCTGGGATTCCGACTCGCAGTTTCCGCTGACAAAGCGTGGCGATCTGTGCTGGGGCGCTGACGAAGAGTGTGGCGATCCAGTACTTTCGCTGCCGAAAGCGTGGCGATTACGGGGTTGATTCTTGGGGGTCGTAATAATCACTGTCACTTCTGGGATTCCGACTCGCAGTTTCCGCTGACAAAGCGTGGCGATCTGTGCTGGGGCGCTGACGAAGAGTGTGGCGATCCAGTACTTTCGCTGCCGAAAGCGTGGCGATAACGGAGTTGGTTCTCAGAAAAAGATAATAATTTCGACAAATTCCCGAAAGTGAATTTGACCTCTACGCTGACGATCTGAGCGCTGACGAAGAGTGTGGCGAGCAGAGGGTGTGGCGGATTGGTTTTGAGCGCTGCCGAAGAGTGTGGCGAGCTTAAAATTCATTTTCGCGAACGCGGCTGAATGACGAAGAAAGGAGGTAGGCGCGTTCGTATTAAACGAATCAGATTCCAGATCAAGCAAGCAGTCATTTCTAATCAAGATCCTCTCCCCTTCCTCCAACAATTGCAACAGCTAGAAAACGCACCCTCCTTTAAACCTATTCCTGTCGATTTCGACGTTGATTATCCTAATTATAACCAAATAAATAAAGCTGATCCTCGTTACCATACGTATAAACTTAGATATCTTTTCGGTCCCGAATAATAAATATAATAATAATATCCTCCACACGACTTGTCCAAATCCCTGGTAAATTGCTTAAATGCATTGACCTTAAAACGGACGAACTATAACAGTCAGAACGTGACACTATTACATACAATCTGCTTGTAAACATATTGGTTATATGGTATACGATTATGTTTTGGGATTAAGATACGTATTTTTGTACAACATCAAAATGTTTAGTTTACCATTATTTTACAGGATGTGCGCGTATTTCTCGACGAAGCAAAGAATGGAGCTATTGTAATATCGTTAGGAACAAATGTGAAATGGAAAGATGTCGGCCTAGACAAGATTAAAATCGTTATACTGGCTTTGTCGAAACTGAAGCAACGAGTGCTGTGGAAGCTAGATATTGATGTGCCATTTGAGATACCGAATAATGTAATGGTTGTGAAATGGATGCCGCAAAGCGAAGTTTTATGTACGTTTCTCAATTTCTAGGAGAATACGCACGGAAAAAACTAGCTAAGTTTAGTCGTGAAATATGGTTTGCAACAAGAGCTATAATTTAGCAATAATAGCAAAACCTTTTGTTTTTGCTGCAAAAATATAGCTCTTGCTGCAAAAAATGTTAGTTATCCATATTTTACGACTAGATTTAGCAATAATAGTTACTCTTTTTTTCCGTGCAAGAAACATAAGATACATATTTTTTATTTTCTCGTAATATTTGTTTAATTAGCCATTGCATTTCGTACATTCTCTTATCAACGTGAAAAATTCTTATAATTAAGTTTAATATTTCTCTATTAACCATTAGAATATCTATAATTTTGAGTTTTAGATATTATTGTAATACCATTCTCAAAATAGCGTTGAGCAAAATGAAATGTATAATTATTGTGAGTATTACTTACTTTTACGTAATACATATTCAAATTGTTACATCAACCATCCGTGTTTTGGTAAAATATCGGTAAACATGAAAACATCGCATATATGTACAAATATTTTGTGGATAGATACATATAAATATATATATATATATGTATATAATTACAGCACAACTACATATTAAAAATAACTACAATATAAGAAAATTAATTTTTGTTGTATTAAATTAATCTGAGTATCTCGCAGTAATGTTTGGACGATTTTGTAGTTTTCTCACGCCTAAAACAATTTTAGCTTTTAATTATTACAATTACCTATATATTGTAATTTCTTTATAATAAGAGAGTGATTTTTATTATAATAAAAAACTTGCCTTTTTTAAAAAAATTAAACACAGACGACAAAATTGTTGATTGAAAATGTCATAAAGTCACATTAGTTTTATAAAGACATGTACAGCTAATGAAATTTTCTATCAATTTGTATCAATGTGAGATTTCCATGGTAATAGTTGAAATTTACCATTTATTGTAACATGTTTGTTATATTTATTATAATATATTATAATGTATTTTGCTTTCTCATAGAGAAAGCTTTGTTTTCGTGAAAAAATTTTTTTTTCAGATATTTTTGGCAAAATGTTTAGAATGTTCTGAAACGCCGAAAAATCACTTTTGTACAAAATGTCCGTGTGTATGTATGAATGTGTGTGTGTGTGTGTGTGTGTGTGTGTGTGTGTGTGTGTGTGTGTAACGCTTTTGTTGTCCGTTCATGGTCTAACTTCCGTAATTTTTGAGATATCAGGATGCATTTTTTTTAATTGATAGAGTATCATGTAAGAAAGATTGGGATTGAATTTGGCGATGATCGATAAAGCGGTTCTTTTTTAATAAAAGAGTGACCGCAAAAATAGCCCCTTTTTTCACCCTTGAATTTAGACTTCTACTTGATACTAAATGATAGTCTATAATAAGGCATGAATCCTCAGAAAGTTTTTGATTGAGCCGGCTTTTTATTTTCAAGATATGGAAGGTCAAAGTTGATGATTTCACCAACTTGCGTATTCGCTGTCATGCGTACCGCCATCCTGGGACTGTGTTCGAAGAGCACACTATCAGCGCTATTATGTCAATCTATCCTCGTTTAATATCTAATGAACGATGCAGATGGAGCGACTAGCACTGATAGTGCGCTCTCCGAACACAGCCTAGATCGTTGAATATCGGACGCGTCTTATTTAAATAAGAACCTATACTTACACTTACATAAAAGTTTCTGAAAATAAAACGGTTTTAAATGATTATGAAGTGATATGCAGAAAAATGAAATGATCCTGTAAAAAAAATGTTACGACAAAATGGGTTCCGAATAAGTGCACAAATTAATGTAACCGTATATCTTTTTCACATTTATACTAACATATATTTGCGTATACTTGTAAATAATCACATAACAGCGAACGAATACGTTTTTTGAACCTATTATTATGTAAGTTTCCATTTCAACGTTTTAAAACAGCGAATACGCAAGTTGGTGAAATCACCAACTTTGACCCTCCATATCTTGAAAATAAAAAGCCGGCTCATTCTAAAACTTTTTGAGGATTCATGCCTTATTATAGACTATCATTTAGTACCAAGTAGAAGTCTAAATTCAAGGGTAAAAAAGGGGCTATTTTTGGCCTGTTTTTGCGGTCACTCTTTAGAATTTTTGCAGAAATGTTTGTGGTTGCTCTAACTTCCGCAAATTTAGAGATATCAATCCATTTCTAATTTTATTATATTTTTCAGTTTTTTCTACCCCTATTTCATATATAACTCTTTAAGATTTGGTTGATTAGGCCCAGCTTTTTACGCGATCAAAAGTCCATATTTTTTTGGGAAATGTCTGTAATAGCTCTAACTTCCGCAAATTTTAAGATATCGGGCTGTTTCTAATTTTATTATATTCTTTAGTCTTTTCTACCCCTATTTCATATATAATTAAGAATATAACCACTTTAAAATTATTATACTCTAAGTTAGTTTGCCCTAAGTTAGAGTACTGTTCCATAGTTCGGTCTCCGTATTTCAAATGCCATCAGATATTGATTGAACGTGTGCAGCACAAATTTCTGCGTATGGCTGCTTATCGGCTAGGTAATCCTATGTCAATTATTTGCCATGACTACTGCGGTATATTAGATAAATTAAATCTGCTATTTTTAGAAAACAAGACACTATCCTTTGACCTTACATTTATTTTTAAGCTTCCCAACCACTTTACTGATTGTCCCAGATTTGTTGGAACGTATCTATTTTAACATCCCGACTAGAGAATTAAGACAGTACTCCATCTTCCACATCGGGTATCACAGCACTTTGTATAATAGCGCAAATTCTTGTGTAAATAAGCTGATAACATCTGCAAGTAATTTCTCCAATAAGGTTGACTCTTTTGGTGGCTCTGCATCAACTTTTAACCGAAAACTTTATCGTCTACTCTCGTAACTTAAATGCTTTTTATAGTATGTTGTGTAATTTTATTGTTTTTGTTTCTTTTTCTTTTTCTTTTGTACGCTAAAGGGTTTATTACCCGTTATTAAAGTTTATTATTATTATTATTATTATTCTTTAAAATTTGGTTGATTAGATCCAGCTTTATACGCGATCAAGTCCATATGCGAAAGTCCATATATGGACCATGTAGCTTGAGCTCCCAAAGTCAATATATCGATTTGACATTGCGTTAATTGTAAAACTCCACTTGTGCTACTAAGCTGACCCTTTTTCAATTCATAAAAAGGTTAAATTTAAAATGAAAAAAGTGCATGCAGAAAATTTTTCTCGTAAATACAAGTATACACGAACAAAGTAAATATTATACTAATCTTGCACGGCTAGGATATAGTCATAATATGCAAAAGATTTCAAGAAAGTATAGGAAAATTTAGAGAGCAAAAAATAAAACTATACACAGAAGTAAATATTTCCATCAAGTATGGGACTTTCGAGAGCGCGTTTTACTACGTTAATTTAAAGACGAATGATTCAATTATATCTTGTCCGATTGTGTCTTATCCCGAATATCGCTGATGAACAAAAAACGAGACGTCTGTTGCAGTCATGTCAAAAAACATAAGTTGAATAAGTTGCCGTTATAGGCTGTGGCGATCAGCTGTCCGCCACGTGCGAACTTAAGAACGCTGTAGGGACCCTGCCGAGCTGCCCTAGATATAAAGGTCGATGTTGAATCTTAATCACGCGAGAATATACCGGCGATGCGCCGCGTAGCGGGCGCGAGCCGAATCCTCTCGCCGCGCGAGCCCACGTTGCTGCTCGCGCCGCGCACCTTCCGTCGTCCACGATCGCGGTTACTATCGCATTTCTATGAAGAACATAGACTATTGCCAGATACGCAACGAATATTTCTATACAGTTCACAATAAGTACCATTCTAGATTATATTTTTCCTATACTGTCTTAAAAAACAACGCTCAATCCAAGACATGTGAAGTTGGCAATTCAAGCTACAACGTCGAATATACACATACTAGTATGGGACTTTTTTTACTGTTCTCATATTTCCTTGTTAGTATGGCAAATTTATTTACCTTTAGGTTACAAGATGTATCTGATCAAACTATTACTTTTCTATTGTCATATATTAATTTCCGGTTGAATACGCGTATATCTTACCGGTACCTAGCAAATCTAGTAAATTTTATTATAAGTATTCTACATTATTCGAGAAAAATTTTCTGCGTGTGTGTAAATTAGAAACTTGCACTTTGCTTCCTCATCATTACAGATCGCTACCATTCCTCCTATTTTATTTCGCTCATAAAGCTTCCTTTATGAAGAAGCCAAACTAATAAATACTAATAAATATGCAACAAATGAAATACAAGCTTCCTCATAAAAGGAGCTTTTGTGAACGAAATAAAATAGGAGGAATGGTAGCGATCTGTAATAATGAGGAAGTAAAGTGCAAGTTTCTAATTTGCACACTTTATTATAATATGCCTTCATGTGTTTAGCTCATAAAAATGTAAGAGCAATCTGGACGCATGGTGGCCTCCTCAGTACGCAGGAAGCCATTTGGAAAGGTATACCAGTGATCGTAATGCCTTTCTTCATGGATCAAAGACCCAATGCAAGAATATTAGTAGCTAAAGGCGTTGGCATACACTTGGATATTAAAACTTTGTCCGCGCAGTCCATATTGCACGCAGTTGAAGAAGTACTTTACAACGAAAGGTATCATATTTCGATCATGTTTTAATTATTACTATTTAAACAGTTTAGCAATATACTTACATTTCAAATAATGTTTGAACTCTAATGTTTAGTTAGTATAATCAATTTATTAATTCCTTTAGAAACAATTGCTTATAAAATAATAAATTATAAAATTTTGTTTTTCTGTTTATGTCTTGTCCTATTTGTCTTTTTAATGAAGATGCGGTCTTTAATTAAAATACAATTTTTGTATTACATCATTAATAATAAAACATTTGTTTGTACAGTTATACAAGAAACATGAAGCAATTATCCAGTGAATTCCGGGATCGGCCAATACCGCCATTAGATTTAGCTGTTTGGAGCATTGAATACACCGTCCGTCATCCAAATGGAACTTTAGTAACGCCGCTGAGATCTCAAAGCTGGGTAGAACAAAATCTGATAGATGTCTACGCATTTTTGTTCTTTAATTTTTTTATAATATTGTTAAGTATATTCTTTGTAATAAAGCTATTTATTAATTTCTGTTATAATTATATGTACACTGCATCTAATTTACGCAAGAGTAAACAAGCGTAAGTTGTATTAAAAATTATTAACAGGCTTTGCGTGCAGTTGCTGCATATAATGTTAATGTAAAGAAGTGAAATTACCGTAAATATAAAAAATGTTGTACTAATTGATATTGTAATTAATAATAAAATATGTTACATTAAATTGTAAAATAAATCAAGATGTAGTAAGTACACCACGATCGTGGTGAATAAAAACATTTAATAAAATCTTTTTGTTGTATAAAAGCTCCTTTTTGGCAATAAATAAAATATATAAGTAACCTTAAAAAAGAAAACGTACAAAAAAGGCTTCTCTACATGTAAGTAGGCGCTTGCCTACTTATAAAAAGTCTATTAGAAAATGACACTAAGTATAAATAAAGCTTAGAAAAAAACTGTTATATATATTTTTTAGAAAAATTTAATTTAAAAAATATATATTTATAATGTAAAAAAAGTTGGCGCTACTACACCTAAAAATATTCAAAAACAATTAAAATGTGTGTGATGTGTGGACATAATAATACGATTTAATATTTTATATAAATATATACGATTTAATATTATATATTAATAATAAATATATTATAAATAATATTAATGGATATATTATAAATTTAAGTTATTTGATGTAGCAGCGCCAAGTTTTTTGGCATTAAATAGGTATTTTTTATTTTGATTAAATTTTTCAAAAATATGCAACGGCATTTTTTCAAAGATTAAGAGACATTGTAGTGTTTCGTGCCAAGTATGCGTGAAGAAGGCACTGGCTACATTTACGGCGATCAACTAGTTGTGCCGGTTGTGCGCAGGCAAGATTTATTGTTCAGCTATAACGACTGAATTGATGCGTTTCTGAATGGGTTCAATCTATTTGTTGGTGTCAAATTATACAAATAATAAAACTGTCTTTACTTGTGCTCTACGTGTCCTCTATAATAAGATATTCCAGTTCAAAGTCCAAAATTGCTAAATTTTTTTAGTCTGCATTTGATGGTTTAAATATTTTAAAACGTTCTTTCTCTTCTGTTCTTTTCTTAATTAATTGAAAAAAAAGGAAAAAAAAGTGTTGTCATGCTCCTAAGTTTGATGTGAGATCGCATATTTTGGCACCACATAAGGCTGAATTAACACGAAGAAGTCGGTGAGAATAAGTAAATCTTATTATTTGTTAAAATGTCCGAATTTTATATTTATTTATATTCTCAAGTATAATTTTTCTAGTAGGCTACAAGTTATTGATAATAATAACATAACAACAAATAATTACATATTATTTGCTAAAATACAATTATAATATATATAATTAACTCATTTTTGTTGACATTACACTCCGCGGACACTCCGTGGGTCTTTTAAGGCACAGTCAATTTTTCGTATTTTACAGTTTTCTCCTGACGTTTTAACACTAAAAAGAAATTGCAACAGTTCCGGCCTATGTAAATATAGAAATCACTTTTTGAAATCTTAAAGATACATGAATTTTTATAGATTTTTTTGTAACACAGAAACGCTTTTAAAAATTTTTTGGACTTAAAAGTTTCTGGGTAAGTGCTCCAAAAACATGGTGTCCACGCAATGTTAATACAGTTCTTTAACGTATGTATATTAACAATTATCATACTGCATTATGTAATAATCAATCATGTATTACATAACGATCGTCACTGATTGAATAATCGTTCTGTGCGCAAATGAATAATAGTAGTAAGAAGTAAACAGATATACTGCGTACCACGTACATTTATACATATTACGAATGATTTATTTATGCATCTTTCCTTCTCTTTCTTAAATAACGGGTATTTTCTGCGAAATAATACTTAAGGGGGTATTCTGATTTGAAAGGTCGGAAAAAGGTATTTTTCAGGAATTTTTTGTAGAAAAACGAAAGAAGTGACTAACGTAAAACTTTGCATGTTTTCTTAGAGCTGGTTGTTCCAGCCTGTTGCTAAACTACCTAATAATTAAATCATATGTATGTCTTTGTTTATCCTTTACATTGGACAAAGATAGACATGTGATTTAACTATCAGGTAGCTTACCAATAGGTTGAAACAACCGGCCCTTAGCCTTATTTGAAGAATATATTTTTATTTTTTAAGTAACAAAATTGTTTTTTTTTTTTCTATATTATATTCTGATCACTAGAAGGTGTAAAACTGTAAATGATAGACAGTGTAAATGATTTTAGCTGTTCTAGGTATCTGATAAAATAAAAGAATGTCTTATTCAAAATAGAGTTCCTATAATAAGAGTTAAGCCAATGTGGTGACGATTTTTGATTGGTCCCGTCATATGTTTCAGCTAAGTTAGTGAGAATGAGACAAGCTGTAAGTGGGAGTGAGACAAAGCTATCATGATCGTCGTATGCTTCAGCCAAGAAGTTAGTGGGAGTGAGACAAAGCTATAACATTTGGCTGTACATGGCGGCGGTTTGTCCTAACTCTTATTATAGGAACTCTAATTCAGAAGTATGACTATTGTTTGAACTAGAATAAAATTATACGTTTATTAGTTATTTTTCTTTTAATAAAATACTAACAAAATTTTGAGAAAAATTATAATATTTTTAATAAAAAGGTCGTTATTTTGTCCAGAATGAAAATATTGGTTTAGTTCTAGTTCAGACAATAGCTACACTTCTTCAGAATAAGAAAAATTGCTTTTTACGTTTCAGTTATCTAGAACAGCTAGAATCATTTACATCGTCCATCATTTACATCTTCTAGTGACTAGAATATAACATAGAAAAAAAGAGCATTTTTGTTATTTATAAAATAAAAATATATTCTTAAAATAAGGCTAAAGGATGAACATGAAAAGTTTGACGTTTTGTTTGCTTTTTACGTTTCTTTATAAAAAATTCTGAAAAATCCTTTTTTCTACGATGTTTTAAATTCTATTATTCTCTTAATTTATTTTATTTTGTTTCATTATTACAAAATAACATCTATTCAGTTTTAGCTTTTTCCATTGTCTGTAGATATTGTTCTTTCGGGTTGCTAAAGGCAAGCCACCCATAGTAGGCTATATTCTATTTAGCCCTTGTACCTTTAGCCCAGTCAAATTGGCCGAAATTTTGGCTAATAAAAGAAATAATAGTACCAGCGCTGTAACTAGCGTGGAAGTGTGTCTTTTGGGGTTGTAATGAAGATACTAAAAGCCCACCCCCGTACTATTGTCGTAGCAAAAATGGGGGTGCAAAAAATGTCCAAAAAATTAGTTTTTTGCCAATAACTCAAAAAGTATCACAATTAGGAGAAAAAGTGAAGATGTAAAAGTTGTAGAGAATAAAATTTCACACAAAAAAGGTATATACAAAAATGTTGTACGACCAATTGCAGTCGATTTAGATTTTTTGGAAATAATAAGTATTTCATGACAAATGAAAAACACGTGAGCGCGTCGCGCATTTTTTATCGATAGTTCGAAAATGGCGACTTGTAGGGCGTACGCATATATCCAAAATGAGTTTGTATATACATCAAAATTTTCTAAATGTAATTATCTTTTACTTTCATAAGATGTAATGTCATTTAAACTTACAGATGCTGAGTTACAAGCGACTTTACCACTAAAAATCATACTCGAGGAGCGATAATAAATGTTTTAAAAAATTCATATCTCTGTCAATACTGATCGTATCGAAAAAAAAAATAAAAATGGAAATTGTTCGTAATTGAATTGTCTACAACTTTTATTTGAACTATTTTTTTATTCGAGTCGCCATTTTCGAACTATCGATAAAAAATGCGCGATGCGCTCACGTGTTTTTCATTTGTCATGAAATACCTATTATTTCAAAAAAATCTAGATCGACTGCAATTGGTCGTACAACATTTTTATATATACTTTTTTTGTGTGAAATTTCATTCTTTACAACTTTTACGTCTTTACTTTTTTCCCTAATTGTGATACTTTTTGAGTTATTGGCAAAAAACCAATTTTTTGGACTTTTTTGCACCTCCATTTTTGCTACGACAATGGTATGGGGGTAGGCTTTTAGTATCTTCATTACAACCCCAAAAAACACACTTCCACGCTAGTTACAGCGCTGGTACTATTATTTCCTTATCAAATACCCATTTGACTGGGCTACTTTGCTCAAGGATTAAGTTGGTGGTCCAAGTTATCCGACTGTTCGAACTCACCCAGCATCTATTGCGAAACCCGAAGGTTTGTGGCTAAGAATACGAAATGCTCTATATTTCATTGTGGATAAGGCATTACTATTTCTTCCCTATTATTCAACAACTTACTGAGGAATATATAGGCCATGCAATCAGACCATGACATGAAATAGAAAAAGACAGAATTAATATAGTGCTAATTAATAGTCATCTTGCGTTCAAGCCTGCGATCTCATTGCTGCATAACACCTTGGAGATCGCAGGATTGAATTCCCAGGTCGTGCAACCAATTGCCGGTGAGGTAGTTGTGGCTTATCCTGAGGTAAGAAAAATTATACTTTTTACTTGAAAAATACAATTTAATAAAAAATGCAATGAAAATTATAATAAAAAAATTGTTTATACTGAAATAAATTTTTAACAAAATCCTGTTTTATTATCTCTTATTATATGTTTATTATCTGTATTCGAAGACTCTTGAACTTATTATTCCATTGTGTTGCACAGATTGTTCTGCTCTATTCAGGATATTGTAACAAATATTGCTCTACTTAGCAAAATTTGGAATAAACAATTAGATGAGAAAAAATCCTTTATTTTTTTTTATTTTTATTATAACAAAAGTTTCTGTATATTTCTAAAATAAGAATTTTTACATGCGTTTATTTCTCATATAATATGCACACACATTGCATTTAACCCAAAACCTTCAACCTTGTGTAAAGACGTGTTTCAGACATGGATGCTGTCTAAGGATTGATATATAAAAAACATTTTAAATATGCTATATTTTCAATTAAATATATAACTGAATAACTATCATATGTGATATATATAATATAGGGGAGACCGGGGCTAAGCCGACAGCGGGGCGAACTTGACACTAGGCTTTTTGCCAATTTAAATCTATCGTAGAAACTTGCCTTTACTACTGTAAATGCGTCTTTATGTGCTAGTATTATCAACGGAATTTGGTAACATTCTGAGTTATAGTGTAATTTTTAACGCGACATAAGTGTTTTTGATAGTGAAAAGTAATTTTTCTGATCTCTCGAAAATGTCTA